ACCGGCAGGGGCGGTGGGGGGAGGTTCCCACAAGAAATGCCCCAATGTCTCAAACTAGCATAAGAGAGGAAGTCACTCTCAAGGTAAATGAGATTCGCCTAAAGAGAGATAGAGCTTATTTCAGGCACAATCTTCTTCTTTTTCCCTCTTCTTTAATCTTCTAGTGAAGGTGGGAAAACAAGCGTAGAGGAGGTTACTGCCAAGTGAGCACAGGTCAGCATTGAACACCACGGACAGCCCTCTGAGGAACCGCCGTGCCAAGTGGGCTTCATGCCTTCCAAAGGGCTCTGCAACCTTATATACAAGACCCAGACCAGGGCCAGCTTCATGGACACGTGACCAGTGCACACAGCCCATGCTCAGAATGGGACATGTGCCTGGGGTTTAACGCTCTTCAATCGCCATGTTGAAATTCTTAATGATTTTCTCCTCGAGTCTGTGTTTTGTACATTAAGTCTGATGGAAGTGTGGAGGCTTGGAGCCTCTGACCACACATGATGCTGCCTCCTACCTCCCCAGGAAAGGTTCTCGGTTGTCCACTCCCTCAGCCACTGGCACCTCAGTCGTAACCCAACCTCTCTCTCCTCACTCTTTGCCCTCAAATCACCGTCACACTGTGTCCCCTGCAGGGACCTGGATGTGGGTGCAAGGAGAGTCAGGGTTGAGCATGCATGCCCTGAAGTGTCCCAGAAGATAGTGGTGGTGTCCTAATCCCAAGCTGGTAGCACCATGCTGTGTCTGGTGGGTGGCCAGCCAGAGCCCAAGACTCCACAGGAACAAACCTATTGCCCATCCCCGATGCAGGTACCAGTTGCATCCAGCAGAAGGCTGCAGTACACTTGGGAGTTGCCCATCTGCCATGGGTTGAGTGGCAGGAGGGGGAGACCCTTGGCTCAACTTCCTGAGGATCCATCTAGAACACAGTGCAGTGCATTGGTCCAGCAGCTGGGAGAATATGAGACCAGGCAAGTGTTATGCCTGAGCAAGCATGGGTGCACACCAGGCCCCAGGTACCTGTGAAGTTCTACACGCATACAGGCATCCTGCAAAATCCCCTTGGGGGGGCCTATTGGGCACAAGCCACACTGAGCACTTGGGGGGGGCCTCTCTTCCTCCTTCCCACCTTCCTGAGTCTGGCTTCTGCTTCTCCCTCCAGCCATCTCAAAGCACCCTCCAGGGAAGAGCCAGGAAATCTGAATTGGATGATACTGGGGATTCCCCAGACAAGTGAAATGCTCTGACATCTGTAACACTGCCCCCGCACAATATAACGATGAGCAGTAAAATCCCTGCTAGTAACTCAATTTTTAAATTTTTCTTTACTGAGAAGCGCACTGAACAGCAAATTTAAAACACCACGACAAGTTGAGAGAGAAGGGCCACAGAAGGAAAACATGTTACATTTTAGCTCCTTTAACACTTTTTTTCTTGCTCTTGGAATAATGGACCAAACGTTTTCATTTTGCGCCAGGTCCTGAAAATTAGGTCAGTCCTGAAGTAAATTAACCAACTAAACAATGAAACCATAAAAATAAAAACAAACCCAAAAACTGGTAGCTGTCTTAGCTCAGAACCGAGCTTTGCCGTCTATGAGCTGTGTGACCAACCCGCCTTCTCAGCACCTCACCCCCTTATCAATTACAGGAGAACACAGACGGTACTCCTCCATATGGTGGGTGTGGGGATTACGTGGTGAGACAGCCTTGTAAGACATCCAGAACACTGTCTGGAACTTCGTAATCTCCCAGTTAGCGTTAGCTCCTTTATCACCATCACTTTCGTTAGCCCCAACATGTTTTACGATCTCCACCCTGCTGGGCAGGTACTCATCTCCCAGTGGACACAGAGGAGGCTGGGAGTTCAGGAAAGCAGTCTGCCCAAGCGACCCATCTGCAAAGTGGCAAAGCCTGGATGCAGAGCAGTTCTGCCTGGCTCCAGAGCCCACTCCCCTGCTCCGTACCCCACAGCTCGGAGCTCATCTTCATTCCACTGATAAGAGGATGTCCTTCCCAATCACCTCTGTTGGCAGGATTTTAACCACCCACATATGTAAGTGTTAACCTGAAACTGCAAAGTGCCAAACGCCCTGCACAGGGCATCGTGGAGCTGGAGACTGAGCCCCTGGGAGGTGCTAACCTGTACTGCTTGTTTTCATGAATGAGGGGCAGCACTCAGCAGTGAAGCGATGCAATCGAGAATCCGTCTCCCTTTCAGTCTGAAATTCTAAGCTCTTCTAGGTCAGGGGCTGTGCCGGATAATTCAGACATCCCCCGTCACCATTCCCACCTCCGTGCATCAGTGTTGAGTCCCTTGCGCTTTCAGGCGTGGTTGACAGGTGAAGCTGAGCCAGCCCCACAGACACCAGGGGCGCACCATCTACTCACAGTCCTCCCGCCTTGTTGCTGCAGGGCTGGGAGGCGTTGGAAAGGGCACTGAATCGGGGTGGAGACCAGGCGATTCCAGCTTCTTCTGCAGGTCTGCTAGCCCAGGTCACTGCCCCTGGTGGCTCTGAGTCTCTGTCTGTACCATGAGTGCAGAGGTTGGGTTCTTCCTAGCCAAGGCCTGGCAGTTTTCACGCCTAAGAGTCCACACACTTGGCTGGCTCCAAGGCTGGCAGCAAGCCTTCTCCTAGCCTTAAAAAGATGCCTAGAACTGTGCAAGAGAAGTTGGAGATGGCAAATGCTCCAGAAACAGCCTTCAGCTTGGGCTTATTTGCACAAGTAGGTGCGGTGGGCTGACCCTGACAGAAGGCACTCTTCCAAAAGCTTCCTCTGGCCCCGCCTTCCCCACCCATTAATAAATACCATGTGCAGCGTAATGAGTTGGCTCCAGCTGATTCCTCCACCTCCCCCCAACCATTTAAAAAGGGGGAGGGCCAGGGAAGCTTGAGGTTTTATAAGGAGAATGTGCGGCTGTCTTTTCAAATCCTAAGAAAGCTTAATCCCTACAATTTAGATAAACCAAATAGGCATTATCAGGTTAGAGTTAAACCTCCAAGAATGGCTTTGCCATTGATTGCAAAAACAGCAGTTACTAAGTCCTAACTGAGTAATTTGCAGCTTATTTCACCCCAGCTAATTAAAATGTAATCAGGATTGTTTGGCAATGTGTGTTCTGTCAGCAGTTTTTCTTCCGAAGAGAAATCACGCCAAGAGACCACAAGAAAAGCCTTTCACGGGAATTGGCTTGATCTAAACTGCTGCTTTAGCCACCGAAACTGTAAAACAAATAAATTACAGCAACTGACAATTCAATAAAAAAAGAAAGAAAGAAAAGATACTCTTTCTCGCCGGGGATGGGCTGCTCTGTTTTGTTTTGTTTTCTGTTATTTAAACAATAGTGCAGCATCTTCTCAGGAGAGCGACTTTTAAGGCAGGGCAGGGCGGTTTTGAAACCAGGTGGCCGGGGAGGAGCCCTCTCCAGGATGTCGGCGTAATTTCACCGCAGGAGACGAGCACTGGGTTTTCGCTTTCCCTGAGGCCCAGGAGGACCGCAGAGCGTGCCAGTTTCTGTGAAACCCACTAGATGTTGCTTCTTTGACTGAGCACAAACAAAACCACACACTCGCGCGCACGCAAACTTCGCGAGCTGGTTCATTCTCGGAAGATCCCAACTTTGAGTTCCCCTGATGCCATTCGGGGCGAGGTTTCATTAGCTCTCACGCCAAGATGAACCACCGGAGGGCGGCGGCGATTCGCCCCAAACTCCACCGTCATTACAACCGCCTCCTATCGCAGCTTAATTCCCAAGGCCGCCTGGCAGCGGGGAGGCCCCCTTAACCCAGCCCAGGTGGGAGGGACACCCAGTTTATTTCTTAAGGGCAGAGGGCTCGGCTTAGAACCCCGCGAAAGAGCCCCAAGTCTCCTTCCGGCCTCCGCAGTTTTCTTTGGGGCGAGAAGTTGCGATCTTGGAACAGGTGAGCAGCTAGAGATAGAAGCGAGAGGGCGAGGGAGAGAACGATAGCAAACGAGAGAAACAAGACGTTTGCGTGAAAGATTTCAGAGCGCGCGCGCTGGGACTGGCTGGGAAGGCAGCAGCCCGACGCAACTCCGCTGAGTCCGGGAACAGCTCCTGTGCGCCCACCCGCACCCGGGGTGCCTGCGCAAGTCCGCGGGGATCCTCGCCACTATGGACCCCCTCCACAGGCGCCAAGTGTGCTTTTCCCCGAACCTCCTACACACCCTCGCTCACACACACACACACACACACACACACATACACTCCACTATCAAGCTGAAAGAACCTACGAGAGCAGGGGGTATATATGGACCCCGGGACTCTTCTCGGAGCATCCAAACATGGCCTAAGTCCCGCATCGCTTGCAACTCTTCCCTTACTCTCCAGGCTATTCATTGACAAGGTCTGGAAGTTTTGGGGCTCTGAATTGGGGCGCGCAGAGCCACCCCCCCCCCCGGCCCACGCCCCAACACACACACTGTGGAACACACGACTTGACCCTAGTGCTCTGCCTGGGGCCCGAAGTGCGGGCCGCGAGTTCCGGGCTCGCCGAGTGTGAAAGCATCTCTCAACAGAGACAAAAGTGTCGGCCCGCGGGCACCTGCGGGGCTGGGCACCTCGCGCGGGTCCCCGCGCGCAGCTGCGCGCGCCTCACGGCCACGCGCAGTGCCGGCGCCGCCGAGGGCCCCGGAACGCCCGGGAGTTTGCGGGACTCTTCCTCAACTAACAAATCCACACACCCGCCCTCGGAATCCACAAAACTGCCCTCCCTCCCCAAAGAAATCGCCTTTCGTTTTCCGCTGGGAAGAAGGGGAGTTGGGGAAAGATGCTGCAGGCTTCATTTTCCTTTCGAGAGCAGGGAGGAGGCTGGAAAGGAGGGTTCGAGGACCCCGATAGTAAAATCCAAGCCGAGCGAAAGCCGGATCTGCCGGTCCAGTTGGGCGAGAAGTTCGGGCGCCGAGGCTGGGAGGCGCGCGCCCTGTGCGCCCCCGCCGCAACCCGAAGCGCCGGGGAGGAGCCGGGGCGGGCCGCGGTTGCCCTACCTGGAAGTGCTGGAAGAAGGCGGAGATGCGCGTGATCTGCAGGCTGAGGCACCTGGATGCGCAGCGGGCGCGCTGGACGCTCCCGGCCGACAGCGACTCGTCCAGCCGCCGTGCAGCCGCCGCGCCGGGGCCGGCCGCCAGGCAGACCCCGGAGGCCGCCAGCCAGAGGCAGAGGGTCAGGGCCGCGCCGGGCGCCCCGGGCACCATGGCTGCGGGTCGAGGGCGCGGGCGCCGGGCGCTGGCCAAGGCTCCCAGCTCCGCGCCGGGGCCGCACTGCCGGGGACCTCGCGGCCGCCGCAACTCTGCTGGAAAGTTCAATCATTCAACTCCGGCCCCCCGCCCTCCCTCCCAACTCGGCCTCGAGGGGTGGGGTGAGGGTGACAGGCGGCCATGCCATTGGCTGGAAGGAAAGTGAGTGACAGGGAGGCCGGGCGGAGGGCCGTGCGCAGGTCTAAGGGGCGGCGGGCCGGGGCGCCCAAAGGGAGGGCAGGTCCCCACGCTGAGCTGGTCTCCCTGTGGTCCGTTGCCCAGCCCACGCAGGTTCCACCATGGTCTGCATTCGCTCCTTCCTGCCTCCACCTCGCCCCACCATCCAGGTAAACGCCAGGTGTGAGCCAGCCCGGGCCTGGGATGCGAGGCGCTGTCTTGGGAAGGATGGCCTCGCCCTAAAGGACCAAGCGCCCTAAAGTTGTGGGCTGCCTCCCCAATTTTCACCCCGGCTCCCAGCTTCGCTCATGCTCTCCGTATTTGAATTTCCCTTTACCCAAGTAGTGGCAAAGAGCTAAGTAACAGAACTGAAATGGATATGAAACGAGCCAGAGGCCAGGCAGAGACATTTGACTGACATTTTTTTCCTCCCTCCCCCATTCCTTCTTTCCTTCCTTCTTCCTCCCTTCTTTCCGTCTTCTTATTATCTGGGATATCTTCTTATTAACTCTGAGTACATAGCTAGTGACATTTGTTAATTAGACCCACACACGTTGTTTCCTCGGGTGTCTGTTTTTCTAGTAAGCACTGCAGTCCCAGTGTGAGTTCTTCAAAACAGAAATCTTTCCTAAACTCTTTCTTCCCCTTGTTCTGCCCCACGCCTCTTGATTCAGCCTTCTTAGCAGTGACATTGCCACCCCATCGTCTCTTGTACTCTTTTCCAATGCTCTTTCAGCACACATGTTCTCCCCAGCAGGGGCCATGCCAGAGAAAGAGACACGGCTGCATTTGTACTACACCACCTGTAACAAAGCTTTCTGCTTCCCTGAGCTCTGCTGGGAAATGGCAGTGCCCCAGCCCCCTTGCGACTGGGAGACCCCAGAGAGTGCTGGGATGCGGTCACGAAGCCTGTGCTTCAGACATGGGGATATTTATGTAACACAGTCGAGTCAAAAAGACTCATGCACACTCACTTTTGGATGCGGAACAATTGACTGATGTTTCTGTGCACTGACATTGCCACGTTCTCGTACAAAATTGCACTCACACATTCCAAAACATCATACCTCCATACGCACACAGCAGAGCACAGCAGAGCGTCTAGATGCACTCGGTCTGCTCCGCGATCCATCACAAAGCTTAATCCCTCTTTGCACAGAGCCTCTGGCTCTTTCCAATTTCCAGCCTTCTCCTCCTAGGTTTCTGCACAGTTTCCACTCTGTGATTCTGGGATCTTTCTGTTAAATTATAACAACCACCATCTACAGTGATCCTATTATACCTACGATTCTGTTTCAAGTACCTCATCTTACATATATATTTCTCCACATAGGTAAGTCAGCAAGGCCAATAGAATTAATGTCTTAATGTGTTTCTCAATGAATTAAAAAAATCAGAGTTGCCTTGTTCAAAGTTTCTGTAGGCAGAGCCGGCTTCATGGGTGTGCGACCTGTACAATTGTGCGGAGCCCCATCTTAGAAGGAGCCACACTTGGTTTAATGTTCTTCTGTCACCATCTTGATTTTAATTTTGAACAACATTCAAATTATGTAGCCAGTCCTATCTGTAGGTTTTAGCATGACAATTCTACACGTGAGCTGGAAACATAAAAAACTTTAGGCATGATCTCACACGAGCTCAGTAATTTGTTTAAAAGATACTCAGTTGCAAATGGAAATCTTTTTTAAGAATGTTAAACATACTTAATATTGACTAGGAGGAAAGAAGCTAATCATGGTGACCCCAAGTTAGAAGTGTATAAAGTCTTGTGTCAGTGCGTGACATCTGAATCCAGGGACTGTCTTCTGACTGTTATCACTTTCATTTGGGAATTACTAAAAACGTTTCCAAAAGCTGCAGCCGATCCTTCCACAGTGCTTGTGCAAGTTTTAAAGTTAAGCGAACACCTGGTCTTGGTGAAGGCGAGGATATTATGCCTGCCTACATTTTCTTTGATTTATGACTTTGCATGTCATATCATGAAATTTATACTCTGGACAGGGAAATCATAGGGACAAGCATGGTGAGCTTTTAGAAACAGCTTTTAAACGTTCAAAGGGATCACTATTTTTTTAAAAAGCAGTGTGTGTGTTACTTATATGGGTTCCATAGCATATTCATTGCCATGAATAAATGCATTTTATAATAAACCACAAAAGAGAACATCTAGTCGGTTGAACAGAAGGCTTGGGATTAAACATTTAGGGCTACCTTATTATGCACACGTTAGAATAATACTAGCATTTATATTGCTTTCTTCTTTTAGAATTAGTACAGACATCCTCTGTTACCATGCTGGCCTTTTCCATGTTATTTATGTTAATTACAGTTTGAAGTAACTTGTAAGAGGAAAACATTTTTGTAAAGTCAGAATAACAGTTAAAATCTAGTTTTTTATTCTGCTCACATATAGCCAATTTATTAAGCAGCTCACCCTGCAAGTTGGCACATGGGACCTCTCTAACTTTTGACAGGACTGGTGAAGACACACCCTAAGTTCATGACAACCAACGGCAGGAGAGGACAACCAGAAGTGTGTATGGAAGAAATGACTGATAAAGGAACGCGTGGGAATCGTCCAGGTGCATTAGTGACAAAGGGCTTAGTGTGTCTTTCCTCAAAGCCAACTTGAACCCCATGGTCTGAATTTGTCTGGAGAAGAAACGAACCTTAAACTGACTTCAGTTTGACTTAAATAGACAAAACACCCATCTCTCAGGGAGAGTAGAAAAGGGCCTTCATTGACTCATTTCTAGCTATGTCAGCAAAGATAGACCAAAATGTGTGCCTGTCTTGGTGAGGTTATAGAGGAAACACACAAAACAAGGCCCTCATTCACAGCTTCCAGAAAGTGAGCTATGCTCTTCCTTGCAACTTATTTAGGTTATTAGTTTCGTCTTCTTTACTTTTTTTTTTTTAGCAGAGAGTAAGAAGCCCCCTGGGAAGCTCGCTCAAGGTGGACTCCAGGACTCCATGTTCAGAGATTCGGGGTCCGCCACCTGGGGTCGGGTGCTGGCATCTCACCTTTTACACGCCACCTGGGGTGATTCTATAGCAAGTGAGTCAGGGACAAGTTTGACAGATAATTGATGTAGAAAACATATACCCCATTAAAACACCGAGTGGACGCTTTGATTTCAATAGCATCTATGACTTCATTTTGTTTAAAGTGCCTTTTTTAGGTATTTGTGTTGATATGGATTGGACCCACCAATCTATTTCTTAATAATCACATTGATATATTTTTTCAATGCATTTAGCCAAGACACTCTTAGCCTCATTCTTGGGGCTAGCAGCTTGTTTGTTTTGTTTTGTTTTTTTATTTTTCCTTTTTCTCCCCAAAGTCCCCTGGTACATAGTTGTATATTTCTAGTTGTGAGTCCTTCTAGTTGTGGCATGTGGGATGCCGCCTCAGCATAGCCTGACAAGCAGTACCATGTCTGTGCCCAGGATTCATGCCAGCGAAACCCTGGGCCTCCGAAGCAGAGAGCACGACCTTAACCACTCGGCCACAGGGCAGGCCCCGCAGCTTTTTTCAAAGGCTTTCCAGCTACATTTGATAAGGATAAACTACGAAGGAAGCAAACATAATCTCTCTCTGATATGCTCCTCTTGGAAAAGCAAATTGAGGACTCTCTCTAAAACCAGAGATGACCAATACTTTACTTTGATGGCATTTATGAGTCTTAAAACAGAATGCGGTTCCTGGTCATTGGTTATGAGTTAGAGGTGACAGTGAAGTGAGGGGCAAGAACTCACATATGAGGGTCTGTTTCCTTTTAACACCTTTCATTTGGTGATGCTATAATATCCATCTTCTCTCAGAAATTGCAATTAACTTCCAGAAAAGAAAACGTGAGAAAACCAAGAAGTATGTCCTGCTAGGGCCTCCGGCCATTCTCCCCTCCACATTTCCATGCTGAGTTGTCAGAATTGCATAGTCAGACCCTTCTAGATCTCCTCATTAACTGTGCTTTCCTCCTCCTCCTCCAGATTTAATTCCCTTCTGCTCAGCTTTGAATCTCATGATCCAGGGAATACCGAGAGAGCCTTTGAGAAAATCAGAAATAGTGAAATGAGAATCGTGGGGTGCAATGAACAACTGAATGGATACATATCAGATTTGCATCTTTTGTAATATGATTTCAGGCAAGAATGGGATGAACCTCTACGGTACTGTACCAATCTGGTCTCTGATGGCAAATTTAATCATTTTACAAATGAAAATTATAATTTTTGCATTGGGTCATTGAATATACACTCTACTTTTCAGAAGAGAACACCCATATCCATTTGCAATCACCTGCTTCCTTTAATTGCCTTGCAATGTAGACATCCTACTTGGGGATAATTTTAGCATACAACACATTCTCCTCTTCAATGAGATTATAAAAATTCAGTTGTATATACAAGTTTTAAAGGTATTATTTTTATTAATTACCTAGATATTTACTAAGATTTTACTAAGAAGTATCAGAAATGTGTTTGGTATTACTTTTATGTGCTAAAGAATATTTTAATGAATTTTATATCTCTTTTGGCAACATATACAAAGAATTGTCAAATAACACGATTTCAAGCTACGTCTACTTTTCAAGAATTTGTCTCCTTGTCCTTTTCCCTCCCCCACAGTCAGCATCAATCAGTGTTCAATTTGTTCAGTACCTGTTCTGCAGTCACGCTAAGAGCCTCTTCTAAATTATGTCATCACTAAAGTTTTATTCTGTCATTGCAATAATTACTAAACAATAAAATGTATCAGATGGTGCATTTTCAGGTTTCAAGGGTCAGCTGTATAGCAATGATGATGTTCAACTGTGAGTGCTTTTTCCTTCCCCGCAAGTTTTTAACTGTAGTGCATTTGATGGCC